TTGGCGCAGTGGATAGAGCATTGGCCTGCGGACTGGAGGATCCCAGGTTCGATTCCGGTCAAGGGCATGTACCTGGGTTGCGGGCACTTCCCCAGTGCGGGATGTGCAGGAGGCAGCTGGTCGATGTTTCTCTCTCATCGATGTTTCTATCTCTCTATCCCTCTCCCTTCCTCTCTGTAAAAAATCAATAAAATATATTTTAAAAAAAATAAAAAAAAATAAAGATGAGGCCCAGCAAAATCAAGTGATCTGAAAGAAAGTATATATTAATACCAAAAAAGGAGGAAGAATTTGATTTCCCTTTAAAGAATGGTCCTTTGCTTCAGGAAAAACTCACTCCTCAGGTTGTATGTTTCTGTTTTTGTCATGGACTGGCAACATCGTCATCATGGTCCATGCTTGTTCTGAGAACCAGATTTGGAAACCATGATCCCAAAGTCCTGCTCCCAACACCCCTTTTTCTGCTCAACCAGATTTACAAAGAAAAGAAAGGAATATCTGGGAGAATTTAGATCAAAAGCTATTTTATTTTATTTTTTACTGATTGGTTGATTTTAGAGAGAAAGAGGAAGAGAGAGAGAGATTTGTTGTTCCACTTATCTATGCATTCATTAACTGATTCTGTATGTGCCCTGACTGGAGAAGGCACCCATTTCTTGGGGTAAGGGGACAATGCTCTAACCAGCTGAGCTACCGGCCAGGGAATTTTAAAATGATCTCAGTGTCTCCATAAATATAATGGCCATCAGGCCAACAGGGTCATCATTGCTCCCAATGGGGTGCAGGCAGGATCTCTGCCCAAGGGCTCTGGGCCAGAGCTAGGACCTACTTCCCATTGAGCAGACCGTGGTAGATAGGTAGTTAGGCAGGTGGCTGGCTCCTCTCAGATCCTTGGCACGGGAGGACGCCTCTGGGAGTGTTGATTCTGGGAAGGCACTGAGTATGCCAGGCCCTATCCCAGTGGAGAATATCCCCTGAGTCCTTAGAGAGTGGGGAGGGAGGGAGGAACGGGAGCCCTTCATTAGGTGTGGAGGGGGAATGAGATGCACAGAGTATGCCCTCAATAAATACTCGTGAATGATGTGTGGTGCAGTTTATGGTGGGTTTAGAGCCAGCCAGACAAGCCTGAATTCTGGTTCCTCCACTAACTGTGCTTCAGGTAGCTCCTTTAATGGCTCCAAACTTCAAGGCCACAAGTGCCTGTACCAAGCAGGTGTCTTCTTTAAAAATAGCAGAGGCCATACTCCCACCAGTTTAGACCAGAAAAGAAATGTCTAGCTCGCACTGCTGGGAGGAGTCCGACGGCAAAAGCTGGGACCTTGGAGCAGCACTCAATGTCCCCAAGACTATCTTCCTCCTGGTCTCTGCCCGACCTCTGCAGACAGCCTCTGTCCACGTGGTGAGGAAGGAAGGTGGCCATTTGCAGCCCAAACTCAGGCTTCAACTTGCAAATGGGGGTTCTCTCTCTCTCTCTCTCTCTCTCTCTCTCTCTCATTAATCAGTCCGCCTCAAAGGAGGCTTTGATTGGCCCTGCTTTGGTCCTAGCCAGAACCAGGTCACATGCCTGGTCCAATGGTGGGAGAAGTGGGTGGTGTTCCCAGGAAGAGGGGAACGGGAAAACCAGGCGGGCAAACAAAACAACAGTCACAGTATCTGTGATACCTAAAGGCCACGTGTATGTGTGTTGTGTCGGGGAAGCCCAAGTCAGGAGGAGCCCTGGCCGAGCCAGGCTTGGCTCATTTGCAGTCAGCATTATTATTAGGTACGAATCATTTGGCTCCACTATCTATATGTCAGGCTCCGAGTTAGACTAAGTACATCTCATATGTATCTTGTCTCATTCTCACAACAACCCTAAGAAATAGATATTATTAGCCCCATTTAAAAGTGAAGAACAGCCGAAACCGGTTTGGCTCAGTGGGTGGAGCGTCGGCTTGCGGACTGAAGGGTCCCAGGTTCGATTCCGGTCAAAGGGCGTGTGCCTGGGTTGCGGGCACATCCCCAGTGGGAGATGTGCAGGAGGCAACTGATCGATGTTCCTCTCTCATCGATGTTTCTAACTCTCTGTCTCTCTCCCTTCCTCTCTGTAAAAAATCAATAAAATATATTAAAAATAAAAAATAAAAAAAAAAATAAAAGTGAAGAACAGAGGTTAAGCTCAGGCGAGCAGTGAGTGACTGAGCCAGATTCAACCTTGGGTCCTCTAGACTCCAGAGCCCAGGTTTTCCCCAAGGTCAGACTGCCTCTTTAGAAACCAAAGATGGAAGCTTGCAAGAGGGTTGCGTTGAGCACACTGTGGCCCCAGCGGGTGTGGTCTGCTCAGGGTAGGTAACCATGGCTTCACGGCTATCCCACTACATGCTTCCTCGGCTCTGCCTAAAAACCCATCCCAGCCAACGGAGACAGGTAACCACTCTGAGTAATTATGGGTTTCTTCACCAAGTCCAACACTTGATCCCCCAGTTGGTGACCCTGCTTAGAATTTTCTAGAGTTTGGCCTGCAGAGTGAGAGGAAATGGGTATGAAGTGTCTGGAGGGACACTGGCGTGGCAAACAAATCAAGGGGTGTCGTCTCTCACCTGCATCACAGAACTATCTGCAGTTGCTAAGGGTCCTCCCTGCCTCTGTGCTGCCCTCAACCCCTTCAGCACTTCACAGCTAGAGCAATCCTCGCAAAACACCATTCCTCCCGCACCCAGCCCTGCTCAGAGCCTCAATGGCTCCCCTGTGCCCACACTCATTAGGGAGGCCTCCCAGGCTCCTCCAGACCTACCCCCCACCTCCCAACTTCTGCAGCTTTCTCACCCACCACTGCCCCTCACACTTGGGAAGGCAACACACTTGGAAAAATAGGATAGCACAAACCATATGTGGTTATTTAGATTAATGACATTATTATTAAAAATTCGTTTCCTCGGTCACACTCGTCACATTTCAAGTGCTTGATAATGTCTGTGGCTATGGTATGGATGTGGGCGTAGAATGCTCCCGTCATCACAGAAACTTCTACTGGACCGCACTGATGTTGACATTTCTCTTACGAAGAAAACCCTAATCAAGGAATGCTATCAGCTTTAAAGGAACCTGGAGTACACTTGACCTGTTCAGTGGCTCCACAGACATTTGGCACCTCCTATATTCCCCAGGCCCTGGGTACATCGTAGTGGAAGCAGGAGGCGTAGCTGGTCCTTTCCTGGAAGTGAAAAGGCCATGGCCAGGGAGTGTCGGA